ATGCTCTTGGAATGGGAAATGACTGCTGCTTCATCCAGTAGCTGAACCAGTGTTTCTTAAATGCCTGTTGTGTGCCTGGTCCTTGACTTGGCCGTGCAGATTTTGGAGTGATGTTTGACTCATATTGATCCCATTTGTGTAAGTGGAACTGTGTTCAAAAGGGTGCTCAGTAGCTGCTTTTTAAAAAAAATAATTTTATTGAGGCCCAAAAAGCCCTTATCAAAACCCATCCATCCACTGTGTCAAGCACATTTGTCAATATGTTGCCATTACCATTTTAAAAACATTTTCTTTCTATTTTAGCCCTTGGTATCAGCTCCTCATTTTTCCCTTCTGCAGCCCTCCCTCCCTCATGAACCCTTGACAATTTATAAATTATTATTTGTTCAAGTCTTACACTGACCAATGTCTCCCTTCACCCACTTTTCTGTTGTCCATCCCCTTGGGAGGGGGTTATATGTAGATCATTACAATTGGTTCCCCCTTTCTCCCCCTACCTTCCCCTTCCCCTCCTGGTATCACTACTCTCATTATTGGTCCAGAGGGCTTTATCTGTCATAGATTCCCTGTGTTTCCAGCTCTGATATGTACCTGTGGACATGTTCAGTAGCTTCTTTTTAAGAGTAGATTGCCAAGCCATACCTCCCAGAAACCTCTGGGTAAGACAGACCTCCAACTTTCTTCTTAGTACCTGATGGGCAAGTTGTTTGCACTCTCCTGTTGTCCTCTCATTTCCATCAATACTGTCGCTACTAGTGAGGAAGATGGGAATGCTGATGGGTATTACTAGTAATTAATCTCTCTCTAGGAGCCCTGGTGACGTAGTGGTTATGCGTTGGGGTGCTCACCAAAAAAGTCAACAGTTCAAAACCACCAGCTGCTCCAAGGGAGAAAGCAGTGGCTTTCTACTCCCATAATGAATATAGGAGATGGAAGGTTGCACTATAACTGATTGTGATGATGTGCATGCAACTCTTTTAAAAAGTGACTTAACTATGGAAATGTATGATATGAGAATTTTATATCATTGGGGGGTGGGAGGAGAAGAAATTACATATCAAGAAAGCATCCCAGCCCAGAAAGAAAGCCAAACAATAAAAAGAATTATATTCCCAGAAGCCCACAGGGGCAGTTCTACCCTGTTCTATAGGGTCACTATGAGTCAGCATCAACTGGATGCCAGTGAGGTGAGTGAGTGAGTGAGTGAGTGAGTGAGTGAGTGAGTGAATGAGTGAGTGAGTGAGTGAGGTGAGTGAGCCTCTTGCTCACACAGGTTTTGACTAAAATGAGGGGATTGGGATTGATTCCCCATTATCTATTCTAATCCTCTACTGTTGAGTAGCTAGCTGCTCTGTGGTTTAGGAAATTTGGCTGAAGGTCATTTGATCAAAGAGTAAAATCCACTTTCCACTGCCAGAGTCTTGGTTGGGTAACTGGTTGGCTGGCCAACAAGTGAAGAGGAAAGTTTGGAGGAGGGCTGGGAAAAACAGAACTGCCTTCAGCCAAGTTCTCTCTACGGCTGAGTGAGAACCAGAAGGTTTTAGCTCTAGTTGCAACAAGAAGGCCTGGGATTCGGATGAAACTGATGCTTTAGATAGCAGAATGGAAAGGTGAGATTTAGGATTAAACAGCCTGATGAGAGATGCAGTTGGGCTGCCAAATCAACGAACTCTTCTAATCCTGTACCATTCGTTACTTAATTTCCTGTTATGAAGGCGAATCCTTTTCTTTACTGTGTAGTCTACTCTGGGCTTTACTGGTTGTAACTTGAAATTGTGTTCATCTTAAATGATTCAGTAGCTATGAGGCTGAGCAGACCGTGTCTGATCTATGACCATTAACTTGAGCCTACTTTTCTTTATCTTTGAAATGAATATAAGTATGTGTTACAGAATTTCTCATGATGATTACTTGAGATTCAGTTTAAATTGTAGGCTAAAACATGAACAAATGCATATTGAGTGCCTACTATGCACCAATTTAAAAAGCAGGCCCTGGTTTTTAAAGCTTAGATCCTAGGAGATGAGAAATGTATTCTCTTCAGATAATTGCTATAGAAGATGATTGAAATAAGATTGAAGGAATCTCCTAGACATTTATACAATCATTTTGAAGATCATTTTATATGAGGGGCCTTCAAAAAGTGGGGGAAAATTTCATTATCTTTAAATTCCATCTTCCCACAAACTTTTTGAAGCCCCCTTGTATTGGTTCAGTACTTATAATCCAGGCAGATTATTTAACATATAAGGCAAGGAAAAGGAAAGGTTTAAAGAAAGGTGTATCTGAGGAAGTGGACTTTAAACTAGAATCTAATGGGTAAGTAGGAGTGAGGCAAAAAAATAAGGAAGAACATTCCAGGCAAAGAGCCATCACACATAAAGTCCACAAAGGGTGATAGGGGAGCTTGATGTATTCAAGAGGAAGGGGAAATGGCCTGAGTATCTTCCACAGAAGTTAAGATGCTGGGAAACATAGTTGGAAGAGAAGAGGCCAAACCATCCAGGCTTTGCTGTTCAGTTAAAGGCTTTTTGAGTTATTTAAGTACAAGAGGAAGTCATGGGAATGGCTTAAGAAGAAGAGTCGTTGGTGTTTGTTTGTTTGTTTTTAAGGAATTTAGGAGCCACGTGAGGAAGAGCAGGGAACAATTTGGCCAGGCAGTATTCTGTGGGAAAAGTGCAGGTACCATGGACAAGGTCCTGGCAGTGGAGGTAGAAAAGGAGGATGGATTTGAGCAGTATTGGGGAAGTACAGTCCACTGTCCTTGGTGTTAGATGAAAGGGGTACGGTGAATTATGAAGAGAGCGATGTCAAGGATGAAACTGTTTAGTTTTGAACAGGTCAAGTTTGAGACAACTGTGATGCATTGCCACGTTGATATTGAGTAACAGTTGTAGCTATTTGCAGCATCTAAGACAAACCCATTGTGCTTCTGCTGTTGGAGTGATTAGTTAGTTAGCTACTATCAATTCCATCTTTCCATCCCACGGCTACCTTTTGTTGCAGAATAGGACTGTAATAGACTGTGACTTTTTGGAAGCAGATTATTGGGTGGATTCAAATCACCAACCTCTAGGTTATTAAATGAACACCTAATCATTTACACAAACCAAGGACTGCGAAGGGAGGTCTAGGCTAGAATAAAAACATGTGCATGTCGCCAGCATATCGATTGCATCAGAAGTCTATGGGTTAAGGAATTAAGAGAGAGCAGACGGAGAACACCGGATTCAATTCTTCTAGGAAGTTCCCTCTAGGAGAAGAGAGAGGAAGGGACCATAACCTGGATGAGGCGCCAAGTTGAGCAAAGGATTCAAATTTTCAGATGCTGGCTGAAGGAGACAGTACTGAGAACAGGAAAGGCGGAAGATGCTGGATAGGAAGAGGTTATTGATGAATTGGAAAGCTAGGAGGGCTGGAAGGGAATTTAAGGTTCTGCCCTTAATTGTTGAGACCAAAGGAGCAGGAGTAGGCTGCAGTTTTCAGTATATTTGAAGGCTTGGGGCACAGGTGCCTTAAGTAATTTACTACCAGAGACCTCAGTTCTCTCTCTCTCTCTCTCTCTCTCTCTCTCTCTCTCTCCATAGGGGTCAACCAGGTGGAATGTATGGTTTCCAGACATTTCATGCTGTTTCTTTTTCAGTACTTAACACCCTCAAAAGCTTACTGTGTTTTCTTAGTGAATAAATATTCTCAGAAAAAGGACTGTAGATTTCAAGTTGTGGGTCTGACTTCACAGAACCCTCTGCTCCTGTCTGCCCTTCCCTTCCTTGTAGCAGTGATAACTGTGGTGTAAAATCGCTAGTTATTTTGTCTTCCTCTCTCATTAGTTTGTGAGGTCTTTGAAGGCATCATCTGCCTTAGACATGTGTGAATCCATGCTTCCAAGATCTGACAAAAGGGTGACACATACCAAGTGCTCATTCAGTATTTCCGAAATCAAGGCAAGAAAGTGACCTGGGCACTTTGCTTGTTGACCTTCTGGAGAAAGTAATGAACAGTAACATCTGCTTCTTGTGGAAGTGTTTTCAGAAGAAAGCTAAAACGTTTGCAAACAAATACCTGATAAAGCCTCATTAAGCAACCACCATCACAATGTTCCTGCTAGTTCCTCTCATCAAACAAGGTCAATTTTGAAATAGTTTCAATGGGAAGTTATTAAGCATTCATCTTGCAGTCCTAATATGGTTCCTATGAGGTCTTTTCTTTTTCTAATCTAAAAAAAAACAAACCACAACACTATGGGACATCCATTTTTATTTTGTTAGTAATTAAAAAAAAAAAAAGACTGCATTGGCATGGTTAAATTCCCAGGACCATCGGAGGATGGACTAAATGGCTGGTACCATTACTTACAAAATTGTCTTGACCTTGATGGAGAAACAAAGTTTATATTAAAAAGAAAGAGAGAAAGCATGGCCTTGAGTGGAAGGTTAAAGGATAGAGAAGATTCAGAAGGGGAGGGAATGAGCACTGTGTCAGTTGGAGACAGGGATAGAAGCTATACTCTAGGGGTTGAAATAATTGTATGTGTAGGAGGCAGCAACCTAGTTGCCTGATTTGGTATTCCTCTCTGTCTGTGGGGATTAGTAACTTGCTCAAAGTCCAACAGCTTGGAACGGATGGTTTCTGAATTTGCTCTTAAGATGTTCTGACTTCAAAGGTCATGATTTCCCATTGCACCACACCCCAGCCTCACAGCATTATTCCCCACCTCCATCACAGCCGTCACGCGCAGATGCCAAGTTTGACCCCACGTAGGCCCGACGCAATGTGTTCTGTCTTGTACCCCTCTCTCCTGTGATTTCTTTCTGAGTTGTCACTGTTTCTTTTTGTCTAGCTCTCCACTGCAGTTTGAGTCCACGTGGTATCGATCACTCTGCCCGTGCCGAGAGTATCAAATTGCAAATTGAAGGTAAAGGTGTTGAATCTCAATCCATTGAAAACAAAAAGATCCAGAAAGTGCTAGACCAAAAAGGAACCCCAACACGGCTGCAGGCAGACGCAGAGATGGCTAAGGTAAGTCCTCCTCTGGTGACCTCTGGAGCTTCTAAAGCTGCAGCTCTGATTTTCTGTGTGCTACAGACAGACGCAGGGAAGAGCTGCGAGCAAGCTCGAGAATCACCTTGTGTTTGAGCCCTGAGCCCTGCATCTGGATTATAAGTGATAATAAATAAAAATATTGACTCCCTCCCCTTTGAAGTAAAACGGGAACGCATTTGTGGTCATGCTCAAAGCATCAGGCTCTGATCTGTGGACCCAAACGAGGAACGATTAAAATTTAAAAGATTTGTCAGTCCAGCTCAGATTGATCTCTTTAACTATATAGAACTGTCTTACCCTCAGAGTCTTCATCTGCCAAGTCTCACTCTCTCATTATTGCCATCGAATTGATTCTGACTCTGAGTGACCCTATAGAGCAGAGTAGAAATGCTTCTGTGGATTTCTGAAACTGTAATTCTCTATGGGAGTAGAAAGCCTCCTCTTCTCCTGCTGTGTGGTCTGGTGGTTTTGAACTGCTGAATTTGAGCTAACAGCCGAATGCATAACCATGACTCATGCACAAATCCTTGGAACCTAAGAAAATACACTGAATACTCAATAAAGTCTTTAATATTAACCTGAAAATGGCCTGCATTCAAATCCAATTTAATTTCAAAATCTGTTGTTCTTTTTATCACATCCCACCTCCTCCCCATGCCCTGATGAACATCAAATGATTCTGATTAAATTAAAAAAAAACAACAACAACACCCAACCAAACTCACGGCCATGGCGTCAATGCTGACTCATAGCAAGCCCTGTGGGTTTCCGAGACTGTGACTATTTACAGTAGACAGACCATTCTTTCTCCTGCAGAGCCGCTTGTGGCTATGCGTCACTGAACTGCCAGCCATGCGATTGCAGCCCAACGCAGAGCCACGATACCACCAATGCTCCTTCTTGATAAAATAAAACCACTGCAGTAATGTCCGTGAATTTCCTCCTAACTAAACATACTCTTCCTTCAGAAAGTGTTTAACAGTAAGTCTGTAACTACCCCTCTGGGACACCTAGCTTCCTTTTAGTCAACCCACCTCTGGCCTGAGCTCAGACCAGAAGGGCAGCCCTCCTCCCTAGTAGAATGGGTGTCATGGGAGCTCCCGGCCCTCTCAGAACGAGCAGATTAAGTGACACTGTGCTTTTGGAGGCATTTTGTACAAGGCCCAGACCTACATCAAGAGGAGGAGCTTTTTCTAGAAACACTATGAATTAATAGCAAGTTAACACATTTTATGAACTACATGCACATATTCAGGTACTGTTTGAAGCCTGATGTGCTGACTTACTGAGTTACTTCAGCAATCATTGGTACACAGGGACCGATTAATGAAAGACACGATTGTTCTGTTCTGCTGTAAGATACTTTGTTCTGTTCATCGCTGGTCTAGTGTAGGTGCCGTGAAACAGACAGAAAACACATGGGTCAAGACACACAGAAATGCGGACTTTGGAGTAGGTGATGCTTGAGTCAAGGGGATTCTGGCAACGGCTTTCCACAATGGAACGGGGTAGTGTTGAGCCTTGGTCTGAAACCAGTGAAGATGATCTGTCAAGGGCACAGTGGTCCAGGTGCTTGCTCAAGCTTGCCCATTGGAAATGGGGGGCATCTCTTTCCACATGGCTTCTGGGTGCTCCCTGTGCATCACCTCTGAGGACATGTCCTTTCCGTTTTCTGTGGAGTGAGTGGCTGTGTGGGGACCTCAGAAAGCAAAGATTGCCATCACTCAAGAGCAACCTTCAGCAGACAGGTGACGTCGTCATGTACTAACCACCACCGCCCCATCCCCACCCTTCCACCTCACAGCAGATTTCCCAGAATCCAATATGATTTCTTTCACCCTAGCTACAGTGTTGACTGATTCGTATTACTGCATTTGTTTTCAGCATGGCTAATTAAAATCTGAGGACACTGCGTGGGCGTACATTTTGTAGAGTGGGGGGAAGGATGCGTTAGGAAGACAATGTAGCTACTTTGCATCCAACGTGTTAGCCGAGAGAGGTGGTACCTCTTAGGACAGTGGTTCTCCACCTTCCTCATGCCGCGACCCTTGAATACAGTTCTGCATGGGGTGGTGACCCCCCAACCGTCAAATTATTTTCATTGCTGCTTTATAACTGATTTTTCTACTGTTATGAATTGGACAACCCCTGTGAAAGGGTCGTTTGACCCCCAAAGGGGTCGCGACCCACAGGTTGAGAACCACTGTTTCAGGACATTCTTGATGATCTTTGGGATTCAGTGTGCGAGCTGAGTTGGAAAGACCATCGAAACCTGATCACTCTGTGGTGCACACAGGCTGTGAAAGGAAAGGGAGCGAGCTCCTCAGGGGCTTCTTGACCACCGAAGACCAAGAGGGCTTGCCTGAGTAGGCGCTTTTAAAGAAGGTCCTTCGAATATTAAAAAATATCATGGATGAAAGGAAGAAAACAAAACAACGAAGAGTTCTTGAGAGTGGTCTGATATTTTAAGTCGACTTTAATTACACATTTTCAGATGAACATCTCTTTTATTTGCAAAAGCGTTTGGTTGTATGGCAAGTTGTGATTCGGGTCTGAGAGGCTTTGATTGAATCTCTGGTAGGGTAGTCAATCCTGAATCTTCATGTTGGCAGCACTCGCCTTTGCTTCTCGGCCCTTTTGTATTTGCTCTGCCAAAAACCTGCCTCGCTGAGAATTTAGTAGTCTATAATCACCCTTCTTTCAGGAGTAGGCCAGGTATTGGAAGCTGGATTCATTTGAGTTCTTCCAAATCATCAACAAGGAAACCGCCCCCACCAAGCAAATGGGATAAAAAGGGGATGTTGGGGTTTTATCCCTCACATTTACATCGTATTTAGGAGTGAGCAGACTAGAAATGATAATACATTTTAGCATGTGTACAATTATTTTACGGAAGACTCAATGGAGAACGAGGCAGCTAGGGGTTAGGGGGACAGAGGTAAAAGTAAGTACCATCGTGTCACACTCCACTCTGTAGCATGGACACCTAACCCAAGGTTTCTGTACCACAGACGGCAAGCTGGTTTAGTGCACGTGCAAATGCATGTTACATTTCTATCCTCTAACGCGGGGTGGGGGGGGGTGAGTTCTCTTTTTTCTTGAGATAACAATTGGCTATCCGGTAACTCTACACTGAACCCGTTGTTACTAAGTGCCATCAAATCAATTCCCTCTGACTTATAGCGATCTTACAGGACGTAATAGATCTCAAGAACAATTGTGAGGTAGCACAGGTCTGGGCAGCGTTTCATCCTGTTATGTAGAGGGTCACTGTGCATCTCACAGGAACCACCTAGGGTTTTCTTGGCTGTAATCTTTATGAGAAGGAGCTCCAGTGGTTTGAACCCTCCATTGTTCCACAGGAGAAAGGTGAAAGTCAGCTTTGATACTGACTGACTCACAGCCTCGGAATGCCTATGGGGACAGTGCCACTCTGTCCCGTGGGATTGCTGGGATTCGGAATCGACTCAGTAGCACTGGGTAATCTTTACAGGAGCAGGTTGCCAATCTTCTCCTTGCAGAACTGCTGATGGGTCCTAACGACCAACCTTTTGTTTAGCAGCTGAGCAATTCACTGATTCACTCCCAGGGCTCGTTCAACTTACCCCAGATGTCATTTAAAGAAAATCACTGGCTAGAAATGTATACATCTAAAGGCATATGTGATGGGCTTTTTTGTGCCAGCAGGACACCTGTAAGAAGATATAGGTGGAAGTTAGCCTGTCAATCAGGTTGCAACTTGATGACCTTCAATGGAGGTCAACCAAGATAAATGACTCTTGAGAGGGCAGCCCCACTTTCTGCCTTCACCTTCCTGCTAGCAGGCCCTGATGGCGCCAGAGCCCTGGAGATGCATCCACCGTGATTGAATTCACAAGGCTTTGCACCCACTGGCTTGTGATCTTCCTGCATTCTGCATCATTGTTTGGGACTCTGTGAGTCTGAAGAGGGACTTATGGACCAGTATCAGACTTATGGACTTGACTTGGACTGGGCTGGGATGTTTTCCTGATATACAAAGCTTCTTGATATAAAGCTCTTTCGTACACATATATGTGTCACTGGATTTGTTTCTCTAGTTAACCCAGCTTAACACAACAAATGAGGAGTATCCAGTGTGTACCTATTCTAGAGGATGATCTCATAGTAGTTATCAAGATTTTAACCATACATGTTTTATGAGCCACTAATTCTACCTCTAATAATGTGTCCTAAGAAGGTATTATGCAAAACTGCAAACATATGGCCACTACAGCACTATTAAAAAAATAAGCAAAACGGAGTAAACATTGCAAGCAAGCTAAAAGTTGAGTCCTAATACACTGTCCAAAAAAGTTTGCATTGAAATAGAATTCTTCCTTTTTTAAAAACAAGGGAGATTTCTGTGTGTCTATGTGAAAAATGTAGGTGATTCTATTTTTAAATGCAGTCAGGGGGAGAAGAGCAGCCTCCTGTGCAATGCCATTGAGTCAGTTCTGGTGACTGGGGACCCAACAGGATAGGACAGAACAGCCTCCGTGGATCTCTGAGACTAACTCTTCCAAGAAGTCTCATCTTTCTCCCTCAAAGCAGCTGCTGGTTTCACACACGGCAGGTCTGGCCGTTTTCAGCCCAACACAGAACCCACTGCGTTCATCTCTGTCGACCCTCCTTCTGGTGGTTTGTGTTGTGGACAATGAGGTTGGGACAGGAGGATGGAGTCTAGTCATACAGCATCATCCAGAATGTAAATGCGGGGCTGGGGCTTGGGTTCAAGCTTTACCCGAGCTGTCCAGTATGTGGCACCTGTGACTATGTAAACTACTGACTGTGAAATGAAATGAGAATATTGGCTTCCTTGGCCATGCTAGCCATATTCCATGTGCTCACTAGCCATACGTGTCTGGGAGCTGCAGTTTTAGACCTGTCAGATGTAGGACACTTCCTTTATCACTTCAAGTCCCAGTGGACAGCATTGCTTTGATCTGTGGGTATAG